TTTTTTTTCATAGAGAAAAACAATCTTCAAGTCTTCAGCGAAGGTGAAAGAAGAAATTAGTACAAGAAAGCGAACATGAGCAATAGCGCTTACTTTCTTGGGACGCGCGATATGTACATCGGATCATATTTCAAAGGCGATGAATTTTCAATAGTGTTTTTTTGTCTTTTTGATGCTGCTTTTGATATTTGTGTGAACACCTAATACTTGCGTGTTTGCACTCGCAATAGGGTGTCAAATTTCAATTTATTGGCATCCACGCAAACAAGAACAGCTGCAATAAGCAACAGACTAGAGGATTCTTGGGCGAAAAAAATTGTTCAGAGTTTGCGCTTTTCAAGATGTTTCAAAGTTCAGACGACGAATTTTTGAGATTTGATGGGGTTGGTGGGCAGTGCAAGAGGATTACGGTAAGAAGTGAAGGTAGGCGTAGAGTGACGTGTGTCGTGGGTGCATTTACGGTAGTGTGAACTCACCAGAATCGAGTTAATCCGCCGTATCATAACCATCATGTGCGGGGGTACACGCGAAGCAGCGCCCCTTCGTCTCGGCGACCGCGGCGCTCTTTCCCGCCTACCGGATTTTCCGGAATACTACACACATCGCGACATACGCGTACGTCTCACACGCCCGTGTACGAGAATTCACGGAAAAAACGATAATATAGACCGAATCAACGTCATTTACAAGTGCATTGTACACATATGTGCAGAAGGCACACTCGACGACGAGTCCGGAAGCCTCGCCTCGCCTCGCCAAGTCCAAATATAGGACGATCAAACTCAAAGGTGTTCGAGTAAAACTGCCCCGTTGTCAGCGACAGAATCGAAATATTACTGGAAAATACTGGAAAGTATTCACTCAAACTGCTGAAACATCGTCAGCTACAGAAAGTGAGATCGAAGAGAATTGCACTCGTCTTCTTTGCAATGAAAATAAGAATGCGTGGGTAATCGTACTCCATTAACTCGCAGCTAACTACTTTCTCGAAACTTGTTCATTCAGCCAGCTCAGCTCAAGTAAAATCATGTTATGGTGGAATGAACTGAAGATTGAAAAGCATTGTCAGAACAACTTTGGTGAGAAAAAAATACCTGTGTCGTCTTTCAAAGTTATGAGGAGATACTTATACAATAGCCACACTAGTTACTCGACAGAAAACGGAAAATCTCTTCAGAACTGCCTTCAGATTGCTTGAAATATGTATTCGAAAAAAGCTTAACTCAGCTATCTTTTGTTATACTTATCTTTATTCAGCTATCAGTGTGCTCGAATTTCTGTAATGACGGTTTCTGTTGAATAATTAGTGTGGGTATTGTACCCATCTTTCTCGAGGATTGGCCCATGGGAGTACGACTTTGGCTTCAGAAAATTTTGAGAGTACTTTGTATAATCTCCCGACTGCCGAAACATGGGACAAGATGAGAATGTATGATTATAAGGCAAGATAATTCAAAATTAATATCAAAAGGGCTTTCTTTTATTACACCTCACAAGCTTCTTCATTGGCACTTCCTGCAAAAAGTTGAAAACGCTGGAGTGTGGGCAAAATCTCAAGCCGTGAATAAGGATAGGATATAGGTTTCTAGTTAACTCGAGCCTGCAGTAGGTTCAATACATTCTCACAAAAAGTTAAGTACAACTTTGTACTCTGGCCTTTTACCAGTTTTTTGCCAACCAGTTTTGATGTCCTTTCCCTCCGGCCTCTCAAATCGAACCCGAACTCCTTGCAAGTATGGCCATCGATGGCTTGTCTGTTCCTCAAAAGTAAACAGAACACGTCCAAAAACTCATCTCAAGCGGAATCAAACGTCAATACGCGACACGCGGTTCCCGTCTGCTGCTTCCTGAAGAATTATATGAATCATATGTGTACAACCAAACTGTAGACACATACCTGGGCAAAAGTGTTCGAACAAACTCGCACGCGCGCGAGGGCTCAAAAAAATGCATCTCTGCAACTCTCTTTGGCTCGTATAAGGACTGTTTTGGTTTGAGTGAGAGCATAACTGGTCAAATCAACGAAAGTAAAATGTGTCATATGAATGGATGTGATTTTAGCTATTTCGAAAACTCGAATCGAACGGGGTGAGCGCGACTACCGGCAACGAGAAGATCGACAAGCTTATGCAGGACGCGATTTTAGTGCTTCGGATTCATTTGATCGAGTTACAAAAGGTGGCCTCGTTGGCTGAGGATTTCCACACCAAATATTTACGTAAGCAACTTCAGACATTTTTTGCCTTCCATAAAGCCCAAAAATGTCTTGAAATTTCCTCCAGAAGCACTTCGAAAGCGTGTCTCCCATGATGTCCTAGTGGAGTCCACCGGCGATAGCGATGACGATCTAGCCGAACCTAATCGTCATGACGAGGTAAAAATAAAAACTGGTAACAAACCGCACCTATTTACATTCCCAGACAAACTTTCACCTTTAGCCAGCAACACTCGAATGAGTGCTAGGATAAACAATGAAAATCTGTAAAAAAA